CACCTCTCCTATGAGGAAAGGCTGAGAGAGCTGGGGCTGTTCAGCCTGGAGAAGAGAAGGCTGTGGGGAGACCTTATTGCAGCCTTTCAGTACTTAAAGGGGGCTTATAAGAAAGATGGGGACAGACATTTTAGCAGGGCCTGTTGCAATAGGACAAGGGGTAATGGTTTTAAACTAAAAGAGAGCAGATTCAGACTAGATATAAGGGAGAATTTTTTTTACAATGAGGGTGGTGAAACACTGGAACAGGTTGCCCAGAGAGGTGATAGATGCCCCATCCCTGGAAACATTCAAGGACAGGCCGGATGGGGTTCTGAGCAACCTGATCTAGTTGTAGCTGTCCCTGCCAATTGCAGGGGGGATGGACTAGATGACCTTTAAAGGTCCCTTCCATCCCAAAGCATTCTATGATTCTATAATTATATTAAGATATTCCAAAATTAAACAAATAGTAAATCCTGTTTATGTATACAAAATTTAAATACATTAAATTTAACATCAAATGGGAAAATTACAGCAAAACCAATGTTGTACATTCACTACAGTCTTGAAATATCAATTTTTATGAAGTTGTTTCGTCATCTTCCTTCAATTAACTGAATTAAGTCAGAAAAAAACCCCTCTTTTCCAATTCTGCTAACATACATTTCTTCATTGTAGTTATTATGTGTCAGCTAACTTTGATATTTCACCATTAACTTCTGTACCAACATGCCCCTTATCTCTCCAAGTTCTACTCAAACATCATATTCTCCCTTCTTCATTCCATAGTTTGAGACACCTACCAAGAAGCCCTTCAACTGGGGCAGCATCTAGTCTAATAGAGCTTCCACTGGACCAAAGCTTCTCTTACCAGAATAGTACACTGGTAGATAAGCAAAGTTTGCTTAAGTCACAATCCACTATGCACCAGCGCTCCATTATAAGCGCTAAGTATCTTCTGTACAAAAGATAAAACAGTTGTGCACATGTAAGCCACACAAGGCAAGCCAAGTTAGGCTTGGGAGGCAGGCAAGTTGGGCAGGTAGTGTGGACAGGGCAGAAGCATGATAGCCAGACATTTTGGCTGAAGCAATTTTAACCCTGTTTGACTGTTTAACCTGTGTTACAGCCTAGTTTAAGCATCACTGTTTACATAATACTCTCAAATGAACAAAAGCCCTACAAAGATAAGTTAAGTTTTTTTTCTATAGAATAACTAGTCAGTATACCTTAAAGAATGAATGTAAAGCAAAGCTTGAAAAGGGTACCTAACTAATAACCACATTTGGAGCTTTTAAATACTATCTTACTCTGAGGTATATGTCTATTACTGTAGAAGTTTATGCATCACATTCTAAAATCTAGGGTCCAAGAACGAAGGCTAATTGTATTTTCTAAGTCAAGCAAGCTATAGAAAAAACAGGAAGAAAGTGTGTGGCTTGTGTTCAAGTGTTATTGTTTAGCATAACACTTCATGCAAGTAATGCAAAAAAGTCTATACACTCAGGACTGTTTACATCTGAATAAATATGGTAAATTAGCAAATACAGTATTTAAAATTATCTAAAAAAATGTGTTTTACCAGGTATTCACTGTTTGTATCAAGTCTTAAAGCAAAAAGCTGTCAGGACAATACCAAAGAGTATGAAATAAAAGAAAAAAATTAAATGGAGACATTTTAAGAAATCTCCTCAGAAAACAGATTCATATTAACAGTTAACTTAACTGAAACTAAAACAAAGACTAAAGCTATTAGATGGCCTTAGCAAACACCTTCAATGAAAAGGCCATAAACTATGCTTTACATATTATTTAATTCGTTTATTTTATACCATAAGATGAAAGCAACACATTTCCTTTTAGTAAAGTATACACAAATAGCCTCACTCAGAATATACTTTTAATGCACATAAAAAAAAGTATTCATCTTACAAATCGTTTTGCAATCCAAATATACAATAGCTTGGAAAACAATATTTTAGAAAACAAAAGCCAATGTAAAAAGACCACTTAAAACAATTAAAATGATAAAGGTTTTTGTATGGCTCTGTATTTACAGTTTTCTTACTGCATCATCAATATCAGAAATCTGTTCCTTCAGCTGGTTCCACTGTTCTGGATTTAAAGAAATACCTGAAATGCATTAAAAATAAATACTTAGGACAAAAAGAAAATTGTAGCACAGGATCTTGCATAATTACTGTCAAGCTTGGTTTCATACACAAAGTCTGTATCATGACTATTAATGCTTAAGCTAACTCAAGGGTAACAACCATCTCAGTTACAAAGTTAAACTACTCATTTGGAACACTTCAGTTTACCTTTAGACCTTAGCTTATCTCTGGACAACTTTAACTTACAAATAAAACAAGTGCAGTAAAACAATTTCATTCACAAGTGTTAGGCTAAACATGGGAAGTGAAATACAGCTCTGGCCTTGATAGAAGGCAGCACAAAAGAAATGCAGGAAATCAATCGTATTCCTGTTGGCTCCTAAAAGCCATACCTCTGTGGACTGAACTTCTATGCACTTTTAAAGTACCATAATTCTGTTTTGTTTTTTTTTTCCTCCTGTTTCTTAAAGCACTGTGAATAACACATACTATAAGTAACATTTTGAAGAGACTCTATTCTACTCCCTAGCACTCACAAACCAACATGGAAGTTATTTTTTTCATTTAAAGTTCACTATAGCTTGTAGTGACATTCAGTCAATAATTACTCAGTGCCCCACAATCCATCTCCTCAGTTCTAAATTTGTACTTCCTCAAGGTCAAGTCCAGGCACATGTTTCCTTTGTGCTTTAGTCTCCTCATTCTTCCCCTAAAATCTCTATGCCAACTCTATGCAAGTACAGACTCACAGGCCTACCTCTCATACTCTCTCCAGCAAGGCTCTTATACTATTTACCCCCACTCTCCCCCCTCAGTGATCAGGCTTCCTTCATTGCTTTCTCCCTGTAGGTGGAGCAGGACCTGAAAACAGGTGAAATTCTGAATTCCATTTTTGGGGGTCATCACCTTTTTTTTTTTTCTTTCTTTCTTCCTTCTACTCTCACTGTCTTATCAGAGCACCACTTATCAGAGCAGCAAGCAGTCTGCACAGAGCTATTCTAAGCAGTTTTTCACCAGTCTTTAGAGGGCAGGTTTCTTTTGAAAACAGTTAGGCCAGGTGTGCTAACCATTATTAGGGGACCAATCATCATCAAGATGCCCCTGAACAACATATCAGATAAACTGCATGCAGTTCAGACCTGCTGTTGGAAACAATCTGACACAATTCTAAACTGTTGGATTCCCCCCCCCCCCTATATTTTACTACACAATTTCAACTGTTCATACTGGTTTTAGGATAGCTAGATAAGTGGCTCATAAGTGCATCAATGGAACATTAGACTCACTGTATCAGATTATTATATTTATCCTAATAAAATTCAGATCCTTTTGCCACATTGATAAACATTTATATCTACATCATGTAATTTTTGTCACTTGGCATACCCATCAAATTTCATTGTAGTTTACCACTCAAACTGCATACATTTTTGATTTCCACCTCAAAACACAGCAGTTTAAAGTCCTTAGAAGTTGGAGTAATCTTTTTTGTTAAGTAGCAGCAACACATCCAAACCAAGAAATTTTCCTGTACAGTACCGGTACACCTGCTCATACAAACCTATTCTCAGTGATTATTTAAGAGCTGTTGAAAACGTTTCTCAAGCTTTCCAAACATCTATTTGCTCCTGGACACACTAGGAGAATATAACAAACCTCATGCTGATTCTACGTTAAATGTCTTCAATCTCCAGGACAGGATGTTTCATACTTACCTCTTTCCTTGGCACAATATGAAAAATGATTAAAAGTAAGCTTTTCTAACAGAAGCAACATGACATCAAGGAAAGCACTACTACTGCAACTATCCTCACATCCCCATCTTGCAGGTGGCAAAGTTCTGAAAATGGTTCAGTGAAGGCATGCCATAAAAAGTAGGTATGGGAGTAGCAATTAAAGGTACAATGGCTTATGCTGTGTTGCAGATTAGAAGCACAGTACCAAAACTTGAACACTTAAGGTATTTTCACCTGAACTAAAATCTTGAAATATTTTTTGCAAAATTAGTCACATTAAATATTTTAATTATTTTAATCTAATATTTAATAGAAATTGAAGATCATCATTGTTTTAATTAAATTCTTATTACAAATTAATAACTTAAATCTTTTCAGTAACTTTTGATATAAGAAATCCAATTGTAATAAAAGCAAGAAATGGAGTTAAGTTAATCAATGGGAAAATATATGGCTATGTATATAACTCCCATACCAAATTTGCTTGTATTTGATGCCTTGTTCTCCGTAAACCATGGGGGATCCATTTAGGAAAACAGACTCAGGCCAATGAAACCATTTTGCTTTTGTTTATAATCTAC